TGTTCTTTTATCACTAGTTAATAGTTCTGTTGTTTTGTGATCTGTTGTCTTTATTGGACAAAAACTACTTGCAAGTATAAATGTGAGGTCATCAGTCAGCCTTTTAATCAGTGATAATCCCAGTGTGTCATAGACAACAAACCCAGCTTTCCTCTCTACCCTCAGAGTAGAGATCCTGGTTTTCTAGCCTCCTTCCTTATTTCTTCCTGTATGTTTTTGATTCTCATTGTATACTCAAGTCCTCATTTCTTTTTTTAACCTCCCTTCAGTTAATGATTGTCAGCCATTCCCATCAGACTTAATGTTCATTAATGTATAATCAATGAATATATGGATGCTATAACTAAGAAATGTACAAGAAAGTTAGGCTAAACAGGTTATCACACTAAAGAAGAATGGAAGGAAAGCTTACCCTTATCCTGGGCTTGCTGAGAAGACTCCAAGGGGAGCCATCTCCAAAAGAGATCCTTCCCCACTGGCAGTCAGCTCTTAATTGGTGTTGGTGAGGTGGAGCCAGGCTTCACCCCTTCCGGCAGCACGGATGAATTGCCTTCACTTCTGCTCCCATGGCTGACACATTGCTTGCCTCAGGTGGTCAATCAGAGGTTCAGGCTGTAAATTTAGCTAGTAAATTTTTATTCTTTGGAGTCAACTGTAAGCTGGACCATGAAAGAAACTATTTGTTGATTTCTCTCCTGTTTCTTAATAATATGTACTGGGGAGGGGAGCAGGAAGTTGTTGATAGAGCTGTGTCATGAAATAATGAGAGTGGCGGCGAGTTTGGTTAGCCATTGTGGCAACATGGGGGAATGTTACTTTTCTTGTTCAGTCTTAATGAGTTTTATCTCAAGTCAGGATTTTTCAGTTTTCTGAGTGTAGGAGACCCTTATTTTTCTATCTTCATTTCTAAAAATGTGATATTTTTTACAATGAATGATCATCCTATAATAGATCTCCTGGAGCACTCTGCTTTTGAAGCGATAATGAACTTCAGCATAATTGAAGGTGAGTTCTGTTCAGCACTTCCAGAAATCAGAAGAAGAGATGACATAGCCATATTTACTATATATATATTTTACTATATTTCGTCTTATGGTCAAAACTAGGTGACAGTGAAGAGCCACTTCCTACCAGTTCTTTGGTGTTATGGGTGCAGGTTAAAATATTTATTTTGTCCTATGTGGTACCAAGGACAGTTCTATTTCAGACTAATGTAACAACAGTACTATTCTGATCTAGATTTGCTGTCCTCCTAATAGAACAATATATTTCTGGAAACTTTAATTAAAAGAATTTCAGAGCACTGACAAAATTTTGCAGCTATGAGTATATTGATTTTCACCAGATGGCTCTCTGATGTTCCAGCAGCCGTTGAGGAGAGATTCACATGGTTTGAGTGTGAAACTTGACACAGATGTGCCTCTGGTTGTAAGAGGTCTCTTTAGAGAGTAATTTGGGTATGTATATTAGATTCAGGCTTCAAATCTCTTTTTGGAGAGACTGTCACTTAAGGTAATGGTGGGAGCCTGGGAAGACTGCTGTCTGGGATGATGTGAGTTTGTTTCATTCAAGCCAACTTTTACTGTTATCATCTGTGGGGATAGAGAAGGGATGGAGTGTGAAGGTGACAAAATCCCTCTTTTCAATATGTGAAGCTATGGGAGGTGTGCATCTCTTTCATGTTTGCAAGACAGAACTTAGTCTCTATGAAAACGTTCATCATTTGCCTTCCACCTTTCTCTGATTTTACAGTTTATGGCAGAGTTGAAACCTGACTAGCATTTAATTGGTACGTTTTTAATTTGTGTATCTTCAGAATCCATTTACACTTCTGCTGTGTCTGGTCAGAACCAACCACTGTTATGTTGAACTAGTGCAGTGTTCAGTAAGAAAACTAGCAGCTTTAAGTTTTGATATTTTCTGTGCGAAAATGAACACAAAATAGTCCTAGGTATGTATAATCTGCATATTAAACATGGTAGTGAAAATTCGTGAGTTGCCAGTAAAACTTTAATATTCTAACATGAAACTCCACATTTAGTACTGTCCTTAAAGGTCGCATTAGACCAGAGCAGTCTTAACTCTGTCCTTTTAGCTGTTAATCTTGCACTGTCTAGTGCACCATGGAGCAAGCATGCTGAAAAGTACTGAAAACAATAAAAGGCAGGTTTTCTTAGCTCTAGCAAGACATAGTTCATTGATTTGCTGTCACGTCAGACAGAATGACTAGACACTGCACCAGAGTCCCGTCAAACGGTCTTTGTATTTATTCCACTTTACAGTTTTCTTCCTGTTAGTCTGTCTGTTGTCAAACCAATGTTAACTCATTACCTAACTCACCTCTGTGTGATGCAAACTTTTCCCTGTATGCCAGGCAACTTTCTCACAAGAGACTGATGTCGAGGTATCCTCGGTGCTTCTTGTAAGGGACAAAAGGTATTCTTAAAGAGCAACTGAGAATCTCAACAGGAATTTTCATTTCTGAGAGAGAAGTCTGGTCTTCGTTACCTACATAAGAGGAGGCCCAGCATTTAATTTGTACCTTCTCATCTGTCTATCTCAGCTGTAAAGTGTTGTGGTTGCCTGTTGTCTTTCAGGACTGGCATTTTGCTGACTCTTAAGAAGTTAAACAGTGGGACTGAATCATGAGCAGTAATGATTCTTCAGTCCTTGTAATGAAGTTAATACTAAAATCCTGGTAGTGCAAATGACATACCTAAGTGATGTGCATTTGTCTTCATGACTGCCTCATCAAGGGCAGATGTTGCTAGGAGCTAATAGGGTCTATTTGGATCCATTCTTGTTCTCTCAACTGGGACACCTTGCGATATAGAAGGGCTGGCTTGCTGGGCAGGATTCATCTGAGCTATAATGAATTCCTCCCTGTCAAGCACTTATTTTCTGAAGGACAAGTTCAAAGGAATATTTCAGGAATATATGCAAATTTATGTAGTGCTTCTGGGTTATTATGCTTATCAGTACACGTTCCATGAGATATCCCTCACCTAAAGTTGCTACAACTTGTTTTAAACCTCCATGCTTTGCTTTGCTACACTTTAGGCAACAAACATGGTGTTGGTGACTTGCTGCTAATCACCAGGTAGGCTAGCTGGGTTTTTGGTATAGATGCTCTCTCTGGATGTTTCTGTTGACTTCTTAAAAATAACTGTATCTGGCAACAGTTCTGCTCCAAGTGGTCACATCTATTTGCAGATGATGGCAAGGTAAGTAAGTTAACTCTGCAACTGCTGCAAGTGTGGGGAGTATCTTATCTGTGTTGCAATTTGATTCTAGTAAGTGCAGAAGATGTGGTACTTGCAGAAGAGGACTTGCGTTAAAAGTTTTAAATGGGAGGCAATAACTGGTTATGTATCGAGCTCACAAGAAAGAGGCATTTCACTCTTGCAGATCAATATGGTGTGTGTGTTGTCCTAGCAACCTGGCTTGTGTTCACTGTAAAGGAGATTAAGGGGGAAACTGAAAGGAATTGATATTTCACCTATTTACAAGATACTTCATTGAAAACTGAATGAGTACAGGAGAGAGAGTTGAGGCTTTGGGCTTGAAAATCTGACAGATAGGCTAGAGAGATTCTTGACAGTCAGAAGTGAGCCTGTTGGTACTGACTGCGATGAGGAGAACTGTTTTAGATACTAGAGAGAGCTTTAATTCTTAAAATTAACTTATGTATTATTATTATTATCATTATTATGTATTTAATTCTTAAAATTAACTTATGTATTAACTTATGTTGAGGTTGCAGAGTTCATTATTATGGGGAAATAAGAGGGGAACCAAGGATGTAACTAAGGAATCAAGGACTTGAAGTAAATGCAGCTCTTTTATTGTCCTTCTCTGTGGCCTTTTGTTATGTTAATTTATCTTACAGCCTATATCTGACAAAAGGACCAGTTTATGGATACAAAAGGTCTGTGTAAGTACTAATTATTTTCTTAGCTCTACGATAGAGAAAGGTAATTAGATTTAGATAATCTCTTTCGGGGAAGGTCTGTAAAGCCAAACTGTGATATTTGGCCCCTTGTCCTGCTATTGAGATCTGCCTTGTGGAGTGCAGGTTATCTTGTTACTTGTGCTCCTGGATGGGAGTGAAAACATGCCCCATACCCATGGTTTTCTTTGTTTGCTTTGGAGTTTTTCTTTATTTTTACAACATCACCATAACTCTATTGTTGTTTTTAAATTTAAAATTCGTATTATTTCTGCTGATTATTTAGGCGCAATCAGTACATTCTAGAAGAAAAAGAGCATGAGACTTAGGAAAGTTGTTCACTCTTGCAATCAGGAGACTTGCTGAGAATTTCTATTAACAATTCTTCAGCTGCTAGAAATAATAATAGAAAAAGTAAGCTGGAAGATGAGGGCTGAACAAAGCTTGCTTCCGTTCCTCTGTGTCTTGTGGTTCTTTTGTTCCTCGCTGAAGTTTGAGGGGGGAGAGTTGATGAAGTTTTGGTCTGGGCATGTTATCAGTGTTCACCGATCTTTATTTTAGTTGGGAATTAAGAAAAAGCAAATGTAGAGTTTGTGCTCTTAATGTATTTACTCAAGGGGTATATCAGCCTATGGGTGTATCTGGATTAAAAAAAAACAAGTCCTCTAAGCAGTTCAAGAAAACGATTCTATTACTGGCTTGCTGAGAGAGGATTAATTAGGAAATGTCTTCCCTTATCTGGATTTCTAGATGTTACAGTGGTTCACTTCCTCTTAGTAGAGGAATATACAGAGTAACACTGGTTACTATATTAAATAGTTTCGTTTGTTCTCTGAGGTTTGGTATTCCTTTTAGATTTGAAGTTATTTGCTAGACAGTTTTTCACTTATCTCATGACAAGATTAGCTTGAAATAACATGTAACAAGATGAGTTATTTGAATAACTAAAAGTCAGGAAGAATCTTGAATTTTGAGACATCTTCAGTAAGACCTTTTTACATAAATACTAGTCTTACTTTGCATACTTTTTATCCCCTTCCCTTTTCTCCAGTACTGATACTCGAAAAGGTGGAAAATGGAGATCTGAGCAACAAGATATTGAAGATCACGGATTTCGGCTTGGCCAGGGAATGGCATAAAACTACCAAAATGAGTGCAGCTGGGACATATGCCTGGATGGCTCCTGAGGTCATCCGCTCCTCCATGTTCTCCAAAGGCAGCGATGTGTGGAGGTATTGATTTAGCATTAAGTGTTTGGATACTGAAGACCTGCTAGGAAATGTATTTTGTTTGAGAATGAGTGATGAATCAAATGTTAAAATTCTGGGGTTAAGAAAACCGTCCACTGGCTTTCCATGAACCTGACTTTGAGACTACTTTGGTATTAATTGTAAACGCTTTTTCCCTGTAGAAATTTGTGGATCACCTCCTGTGTGCTTCCAAATTTTAGTTGTTCCTTGCATTTACCTTCAGATCATCCTAGGATTCATAGCGTCCATTTCACTATTGGCTGTCATAAAGACATAAAACTGAGCTGTGAAGTACTTAAAGTTGCTGATTTTTTTTTTTTTAAGATTTCCCAAGATTAAGATTACTTAATTTTGATTGTAATTTGTCACAATGCATATGTGCACAATTACACAGTACTTCACGAAGTTCTCCCTGCAGTTTCAGCTTGAGCACAATGTTTTTTTCACTTTCATAATGAGCTCATGAATTATTTATAACTTCCTACTCTTTCTGCATAAAACAACACATCTCTTCTGCAGGTCAGTCTGAGTATGTGATCAATGAGTAGTAATTTGTGTGCATTGTCTTTTCCGTTTAGGAACTGTGATTTTTGAGAATAGGAACTACTTTGGTGGATAGGAGCTGCTTTGATAAGGATTGGCCCATAGAAAAAAGTAGAGTTTGATTATGTCTCTTAAGTGAATTAAATCCAGAATTCAGTAAACAGCTCATTGTTGTCCTAGGATAATGACATTTCTGGATACTGTGAGACACAAATTAGTACTAAGAATCTGAAACAAAGTAGGTAGAATTTTGTTTTCCTGCATGGGGCAGAGGTATTGAAATGTTGAATTGACCAGGTCTTTAGAGCCATAAAAATCTCTCATTAATTATCAGTGCTCCCACGAAGTATGTGCATGCTGTGAAATATGCCAGGAGGAAGAAATATTCCAGCTGGAAGAATTATGTGGCTGTTACAGAAGATATTTGGTGCGGAGTTCTTATTTTCCTTATCTAGTTATGCAGAATAGATAGATAATTTATTTCCTTTTATGCATAAATGTGAGCTTGTTCTGCACGTATTGGTATGGATTGACTTAAGACTATCACTGAATGTGCAAACCCCTATTAGTAATCTGGGAGGAACTGTGAAATAACTAGGCTTTTACTCTGAGTGAATTCTGGCAGGAATAACAAACTGACAGTACTGGTTTGTAATTTTTCTCCTCTGAAACAGTGCCAGGGATTGCCTTTAAGGGCAGGAGGGAGGAAGGAAGAAGGAAAGCTGGAAACAATTCCTCTGTGACTGTAACTTTACTAGTCTGTGCGTACTGAACAGATCGCAAGATGTTCTGCTCCAGTATGGCCTCATTAAAAAAAAAAAAAATAATAATTTTAAGGGTCAGTTTAGTCTTTCTGTGAGGGTAATTTAAGAGCCTCGATATCTGTGCGAAAATATCAGTCTGGTAATTGACTAACTTAGACTGTAAATCATGTGTTTTTATGATTATTTCTCAGCTTCTCAGAAGTAAATTTCTAAAATTTTCATCGCTTTATAGTGATTTCTTTATAGTTAGCAGTCTTTCATTGAAAACAGGTTGAATTCCTCTCAGTACTTTTCCTTAAGCAGGGTAATCATCACTGAAAGTGCTATGATATATTGTCTCTGGGTAAGCCCTCTTCTGAGATGGCCAAAACCTCAAGTCATACTGAAATAAGCTGAAAAAGACATGGTGTTTGCAGCATCTATGTAGATGCTTGCCAGCATAGTCACTGCCACTGTGTCAGTGACTAAGCACTTGATTTTTGTGAAGGCAGCAGTGCACGTATGTTATAAATCCTTTCCCCACCCACGGGCACAACTTGAAATTGTAAACAGAATGAAATTTTTAAATCCTGTTTGATTTGATTCTTGTCCACTTCAGCTTCTTGGTTAATCACTGGTGTTGAGGGTGATTTCTGACTGATAAAAGACCTTCTAGTTAGTCTGTGTGCCGTCAACAAAACTGGAATATTTCTGTCCCTAACAATCACAGCACTTTTTATCTCAACACTTTTGTTGAAAAGCTTGTTAGAATAATACTACTGGCTGAACTGTTGCCCAGCTTTTCAACAAGAATCTTATTGTGTATCTGTTTCCTCTGCACAAATGCAGGTAGCTGCTGAAGAAGGTGCTTGCCAACACTGAAATTTCCTAAATCAGTCTTTTATTCTGTTATAAATAACGTATTTGTACAATTCCTTTCAATAATGTATCAAACTCTTAACAACAACAACAACAAAAATCCCCATTCTACAGAAGCCAGCAAAGAACGTGAGAATGCAGAGGAATACTCCCATGTGTTGATGTCTACCACTACTATCACCATGGTCTTGGCTACTGTAAAGCTTGTTGACAATAGTAGCACTTTGAGAATCTTGCTAGTTATAGTCTGTCTTGCTATGAAAGTTGTTGTGCCTCACCCATACATTTTAGGTGTATAACAGAAACTTTGTGCTTATGTTGCACAAAGGACAAAAGCTACCATTTTGTGTAAGTGTCAGACAGTACCTGTAAGTCTAGTGATATGCTTGAGAGGAGAGTTAGGAATCCATTTTGGATTCTTGGGGATGAAAATGAAGTGCAGATATGACAGCTTATCCAGCACTGCACAGCAAGCTGATGTTTGTAGGAATCAAATTCAAATTTCCATGCCATTTAAATTTTTTGTTTACTACCAACTTCATGTTCGACCTGTGCAGCTTAAAAGAAAGTAGTGTTGTCATCATATGAAGAAGATAAGGCGCAACATTACAGCCTTCATCTGAGTTCTTAAGGTTCCTCAATTCAGATTCATCTTAGAATTATCTACTCTGAGACCAGTTAAATAATTAGGAATTGAATCTCTATTTGGGAATGGAATACCAAAGCTAACAAAAAAGACCTGATTAGCAGATCAAGTTATTTCATGCATTCAGTGATGTAGATACTTTCGTCGCTGGAATACTTCATTTGAATTGATTGCTGGCAAGCACTTTCATCCTCACCTGACTGCTTGCAGGCTTCTGTAGACTTCTGTGTGGAATGAAGAGCTGGCAGATAACAGTTGACTAACAATGCTGTTAGAAATTCATGTGAGAAAATCATACGTAACTGACAGTTGTGAAATAACTACATGTAAACTCTGGAACTACCAGTTGAATAATGTGCAGAAGTACTGTTAATTACCATTAAAAATTTAACTAAGTTCAATTTTTTTTTGTCCTAGCAAGAGTAATATTCTAGTTTCTGTTGCTGCTGATGTCTCCATGGTGTGTTGATAGTGGCTTTATTATAGAAGGTGCTGCACCAAGGGCAGTGCAGAATAGGAACCTACGGTGGAAATGCCATTGAACAATAATAGCGAGAGGAATTTAGTGTTTTTTTTTTTTTTTTTTAAAGTTCACAGATTGGCAAGGGAGGTGGCAAAATGACATCTGAAATCCTGCAGACCTCCAGCCTCCTCCTTCCACAGAATCCAACGTGTAAGATTGAACCTGATGTTAAATGGCTTAAGGGATTACTGGATCACTGGGAAGTGGTTAATTATTCAGTGTCAGTTGACTTGAGCACGTGGTGTGTATCACGTGGTTGATTTTGTAATTAAAGTCCAAAAACTACTAGTAGATGCTGGAAAAATAAATGAGCTTTCCTCCCAGTTGAGAATAAGTGCAACTCATTGATTCTTTCTTCCCAGGCCCTTTTCATGGAAATCTCCGTTCTTTTGTTTTATAATTCATTATAATCCTTTGCTAGAGAATGAATGGAGAATACTCTTCTCAGCAGCCCCTCTCTTGTTGCTTAGTCACTTGGGATGATTTTAGTTAAAATGACACTAGTTATGTGAAAGCAGTATTCTCAGCCTAGTTAGCTAGACTAGACTGCCTAGTTAGCTCAGTGACTACAAGTTAGCTAATAGGCACAAAGGGATGCCGTTAGGTTCTCCAAGAAACAAACCGTGCTTTCCTGCAATATGTATGTCTTGTGTCATATTAAAAAAATAAATGGACAGATCTATATTTAATCTTAAATATATATATATATACATATGCCCTGTATAAGAAATGTTTTGAGCATATCAGTAGCATTTTCCTAACAATTCCATGAGGGGAAGTATCTAATTCCTGCTTTATTCAGAACAAGTGGTAAAGTAATAGGGGGCAGTCTACCGAAGAGTTAACTTTTGATATCAAAACTCTCAAAGCTCTCAACTCTGAAGAGTATTGTGAACAATCAGCGTTAAATAGGACAAGTCCTGTATTCATTCAGCCCAGTATTCGTTTTCTTTCAGTGTGCCTTTTATGCATCCTTGGAGGTCAAAAAGAAAATCTGAAGTCTTTATACTCCTGTTTCTGTTCTTTAAGTGAGGCAATTATTGTAATAAGAAATAATGGAAAGAAATAGTTGATGGGACATTATAACATGAAAAGTGTGAATTATGTAGGAAAAAATTCAAAAGGTTGTGTAGATGGAAAAGTGGTCTTTTGTTTTTAAAACGTAGGCTGTAATTAGCAGTAAAGATGGAATCCTTAGCAACTCATGTTTATTTCATGTTTAAATAGGAAAAGTTATCAGTAAGAGTTTCCAACTTGGGTGACTGCAGTTACAAGGAAAAGGTCTTGGTAGAGGTGGGATGGGGAGATGGCAAAAATAGATTGTGGTGATGAATAATGATTACTTCCAAATGGGTAGAGCAAATGACACTCTGAGCCATGAAGAATAAATGCATATTTTAGCTACCAAGGTTACTCTTTCATGGGACAGCTATTCAGGGAGCTTTTAGGAGGAAAAGCTCTTGATCTTCAGGTGTGCTTAGGAGGCCTTCAAGGTAGTGCAGTGTGCCAGTTGTTAAAAAATACATGCTTTGGCTTAATGTCTTTGCAAGAGAAGTGACAAAGTCTGGTAGAGTAGTGCTCTAATCTGAAGGAGAATAGTAACAATATTGAGAAATTCTGTTTAAAAAAATCAGAAAGAGTGGTTGCACAACTTCATGACGGTCAAGGTGGATCTCTTGGAAGGAAGCTACATGGAAATGCAGAGCGAATGGATAGGAAATGACACCATGAAAGCAGCTGAGAAACAATGGGTCATCTTCAGTGGTGCAGATTTTTATGAGCACAGCATGCAGGCAATGTCCATTGTGACAAAAATGCATAGTTAGTAGTGGTGGCTATGTTAAAAAATAGTGTTTTATAGCTGAAAATTTACTCAAACAGTGTATGATTATGTTCTTTGTATCTGTAGTAGTCTCTGTGGATATAAATAGGAGGCATTAACTTCAAGAGTGGCCTACATAAAACCAAATATCCTGAGGTAGCTTTACTTTTTAAAATTAATGTATTGCTGTTGACTGATGATGTCCAATTTGACTTGGATGGTTTACTGTATCATATCCTGAACTCAAGAAAATGAAGTTACCATGTTATATGAACAAGATTTTTGCTGTTGTGCAAAGGTTACTTAAAGATATAAGGCAGGGCTCCTGACTGCTTCAGGTGCAGTTTTGGACTAGTCAGAGAAATTTCATGGTTAGTCCTTAATTTAATCAGGTGTTGTAAAGAAATGAAGACATTCAGGTAATGGGATTGATTTTTTTAGGACTGGTTTTTACAGAAGTCTCATTTCCTTTGTTTTTAAACCAAAGCAAAGTTAGAAACTGTAAAAGTATGAAGATTTTCTGTGCTGTCATTGGGTTTCAAAATGACTGATGAGGGGATCAGTATGTTAGTAATGGATTTTTCCTTTTTGACCATAGGATTCAAGAGGAAGAATCTGCTGCGTTATGTTACTTAACAGCCTCTGTCCTCTTATAATTGCTATCACCATCAAATAAGAAAAATTCCTGGCTTGATGTTACTTAATCTAATTTCTTGATATTCATATCATAAATCCAGAATTAGGAATGTAGAAGTTAGGATTGTTGGATTACTATGTGATAATTTCACTGGAGTTCTTGATGAAATGTTAGCAGTTGAGAAAAGAGAAGAGAGACTGATACACAGCTTTTTATGAACAAATACCCCTCAAGTGACCTTTATTTGCCCCTCACATTTCAGTTCTCATTCTTACTCTGATAAGAAGCTTTTTGTTTACATTCCTCTATTGCAATGTAGTCAAATATTAATTCTAAAGTTCCCACAGGTTATCTGTCTGGTTCATGTGTAACGTATATGGATGATAAAAGAACAAAAAATGGTTTTTCAAGTGAACCTGTTCAATATCCTTAAAGATTTCCCAAATTTATCAACAAAGATATTTTGCATTTTTGAATGTCAACGTAGATGTTAGCACTCTTCCAAAAATATTTTAATTTACACACTGGGGTTACTTTGTTTTCATTATATAAAAAAAAAAAAAAAAAAAAAAAAAGGTAAAACAAAGAACTTTGCCAGTTTGACAGCCACAATTAACTTATCCAGAAAATATGTAAATTCTTCGGTGTACCAGAGGCACCCTGATAGGCTTACATGCTGTCAACTTGCTTTACCAAGGATGCATTAAAATCAGGCACTTACATTCTTTTCCCTTTCCTGTTAGTTATGGCGTGCTGCTTTGGGAGCTGCTAACAGGGGAAGTGCCATTCCGAGGAATTGATGGTCTTGCAGTAGCCTACGGTGTTGCCATGAATAAACTTGCTCTTCCAATCCCTTCCACGTGTCCAGAGCCTTTTGCCAAACTAATGGAAGGTAAGCCAGCTCTAGTGTGAGTATGGTTAGAACATTGTATGCTGTTCCTAGAGTGCTGTTTAGCATTGCCTCCTGGTGTTGGTTTTGATACCTAAGAGCATAAATTACTCAGATGGATTTTTTGATGCTGCAAGTTACTGTGGGGCTTCAGTATAGCTGTTTATGTGCTGTAACAGTTATTCTGTTACAACAGTAATATATGAAATTCCCATCCATTTTTTACTATGTGGGCTATTGTTGTCATCATCTAGCTTGTTTTCTTGTAGCGAAAATGCACTGACACCAAAATTTGACATATATTGATATAGTTTAAAACCTTCAACTTGTTTTGGAGGTCGTAGCTTGAACACCTTGCTGGCCACTGTCAGGATAATTTGGAATCGTAGTGTCACAGACATCGAATGCTGAACTTAGGTTTTGTGGCCTTCAGAGGTGTTTTTAGCCCTCAGAAAGGAAGTCTTATGCAAGAAAATGTTTCTGGTGGATTTTTCTGCTCTTGGAATATTTTTTCAGTTATCTTTTCTGTAGATGACAGGCTTCAGTTAAATTAAAGTAGAAAATCTCAGGTATTGTTTTGCCAAAAAAAAAAAAAAAAAAAAGGTGGCATGCTGGACAGTAAACAGCAAGAGTTGCAGGTGTATTAAATTGGAAGAAATGTTAAACAGGAAACTGCAACTGAAACCAGTTTATGAAAGACTAGAGCACAGTGTTTTGCCATTATGGTTTGTTTTGGCGTGGCTCCCTAAAACAAGGGACCCTGAATTTCTTAAATGTAAGTGGTCTATCTGCTGATAGTGTTAAAAATAATGCCTTCTCCTGGGAAAGTTGGATAGAGGCGCGTGGCCTGTGCTTGAACCCAGGAGCACAGGGGTAAGGACCCTTGGCTCTGAAATGCTAGGCTTCTTCATGTGCAGGGAGAAGCAGAGAACAAAGGAACAGTTACTTTCTGCCCCTTCACTAGAACTGTTTTTCAGGCTATTTCCCATCTCTGTGAACTCTTGTTTCCTTAATGCTGCTTTTGCTTTTGAATTACTCCTCTGGTGGTCGTCAGTGAGAAAACAAAGCTGAACTTTACCTTTTCACAGAAAAGATTTGTATGTTTCAACTGTCCTCATTAGTGCAAATAATGGCAGATCTAGGACTGGAGGGGGAAAAAAAAAAAAGCCAGGGGCCACCTGCATAGTTATCCTGCTCATTCATTCATGCATTTGGCTGGCCACAGCATTTTGTTTTACTTTGGGTCATGTTTGCTTTGCCATGCTTAAAACCTGTGCTAGTGGGGCAGAGATTATGCCACTGTCAGTCCAGCTGTATCACCCATTGCTGCTAATTGGTCAGCAGCAGCGGGGGACCTTCAGAGCACTTTTAACATCCTTAATTCTCTGTTTTGGTAAGAGAAACAATTTGAAATCCACAAAGACAAATGTGTTCCAGCTTATGCCTCCCGGAACTTGATCAAATGCTTAAATACCATCTTGGTATCAGCAGTTTCAAAAACAAAGCTCCCAAATGCCAAATGTCAGTAACAGTAAAATCAAAGCAGAGAAAAGATCTGCAAAAAGAAGCCTCAGCAGTTGCTCAGATTTTGTGAAATTTTATTTATTTTTTAATCACAGATGCTCCTTGATGTATTTCAATCCTTAAAACAGATTAAGTGAATGCTTTTTAGGACATCACTAGAAATTTTTAAGAACAGTACTGCTCTTTTTCCCCAACAGTAAAGTCTAGGAAACTTTTGAACGTTTATATTATTCTTGCTTCTTAACGCAGCAATTTATGTCTCAAACGTAGTGACCGTTCTGAACAATGGTAGTATGAGTGTATTGAGAAAGACCCACATATTAGTGTCTTCCACTTGGACACAAAAGCTGTTGTCCATAGCTTTCAGAAATGTTAGAATGTTAAATCTCCTGTTTGGTTCTTGTCAAAGTTTGGCGTGCAGGAATCTTGCAGTACTAAAAAGAGTAAGGATACATGTTGAAGAATAACCTGTGTAAGTGCCAGTATTGGAAAATATAGAATGAGCAAAATATGTTTTCTGCAGGAGTTAAAATAATGGTGAGGTCAGAGAGGATGGAATGGGTAATAATTTCACACTCAGAAGCACTGCTAAGCCAAATTCCTTCATTTAGTAACTCTTAAAAACATGATCTTGATTTCATAGATTGTGGTGTTACTCTGGAGTGTTTTCTTTTTCCATTTGTTTTCAATGTTCAGCTTCCCTCGCTGTAAGAGGAAGAACCTTTTCATACCATCACAAATTGAATTGCCCTTTGTGGTAATAAGGGTACCTAAAATTCTGTATAGCTCTGTGATTGGTTAAGTCAGTGCATTAGACTGTTTAATGAAAAATCTTATCTGTGGTTTCTCATAAAAGCAATTGGGGGGGGGGGGGGAGCCTTATTAAACAAATTTCTCATAGTAACAAACAAAAAAAAATCCTTAAAAATAAGAAAACTCTAAATGTACTGTCTGTTTTCATAATCTACTTGAATCCTGTGTTTTCAGTCACAGTGCTCAGTATTTTACCCAAGTATGCCCAGGCTGCTTTGCAGGAGAGTTTTTCTGTTCTGTGGAAGAGATTCATAATGACTCAGCTTAGCTTTGGAAGGGGCTCTGATACATACCTTTTACAGCGACCGGTAGCTCTGCAGTGTAAATGTGTTAAAGGAATTGTGTATAGGCATCTTACTTGCATGTGCTCACAAAGTACAGATGATAGTTTAAAAATTCCACACTTGATTTATGATAACACAATAGTCAATGAAAGAGAGAAATGGGAGACAGAGTAACACAGTGTACGTGCCATTCTCAGCCACTGGGGATCAGTAAAGTACCTCTCATCATCTCAAGCCTTCTTACTAAGAGATGCTTAATAGTTGCTTGTCTTTGTCCTGTTCTAGATTGTTGGAACCCTGACCCACACTCACGACCTTCCTTTGCCAGTATCCTAGGCCATCTCACTGCTATAGAAGAGTCTGGTTTCTTTGAAATGCCCAAAGATTCCTTCCATTCCCTTCAGGAAGACTGGAAACAAGAGATCCAAGAGATGTTTGATCAGCTCAGAGCCAAAGAAAAGGTAAGTAGAGAAAAACAGTCCTTGCTTGTGTTCTTCTTGTGTTTGATAGAGTACTTCCTATTCAGGGATCATATTTTAGGGCATCTCAGAATTAATTTTGCACGTGCTTTGCTTCAGCTTTTAGTAAGTCCCTGAGTAAATGGGAGTTATGATGCGTGCTGGGGTAGATTCATAAGTAAAATAAACATCTGCGTCTTTACCTGCTGCTCTAATGTTGTAGTGAGCATAGTGTCTATTATACACTATGCTGAATTATCTTTGCTTAATACATCTGGTAACTATTTCACTGCCATTGTCATAACTGAGAAGCCCAGCAATAATTGTTAACATTAAAAATAAGAGAGAGAGCTTCAGACTATACACTTCAGCAAAAATCTCTTCTTTATTTCTGTCAGGTTTGTATCTTCAAGGTAGTGTTCAAGGCTGTGCGTGCAGTCAAAGGGGATAAAATATAATAAACACAAGTACTACCAAGAGAATAATCCAACAACTGTTTAATTAAAATTTGCCTGGTAAACAGCAGGGAATGAAGACCCTAACAGGATAAAAGGAACAATGACCATCAGTTAAGTGACAAGAATCGGAGTCTTATTCTTCAAGCATACTGCCAGAAACAAAGCAGTTTGCTACATCTGTATAAGGTCCTTACAGACATTACAGATGTTGGTATGAAGTACTGCAGTTATTCACTGAGGTGGTAGTTTTTTGAGTTGACTGCCTCTCACACAGAAGTAAATTCATAATAAATAGCCAACTTGATTTTGGCTCAGAAGTTGGGTTTAGAAGACAGAGAAAAAGAGGATATCTTGTGTACAGTGGTAAGTCCTACAATGGTTCGTAAAACATTTTCTCTGCATGTACTATAGCAGCTTTTGGAGGAAAAAAGGAAGAGCTGATGGGCATTACCCTGATGCACTGTGTGGTGTGTTGGTATAAGTTTGTTGGAATAGCTCTTGAAAACCAGAAACTTCAACAGAGAACAGTAGTTGCTAGACTGCTGTCGTGTTTTGAGCACTGTGTTCCTCCATAGCAATGAGGAAAGAGAGTTTGATATCATGGGAAAGCAAAGATTAATTTTTTTCAATATATGGATGATAAATGTTGCAAAATGAGTTCTCACGTATGTGGTAATCTCCAGTGGCTCTTGAAGATGTGCACATCAGCATTTTTTTTCTCATGACGCTGTATTTAGGATTCAGTGTCTTTTCACAGAATCATGGAGTGGTTGAAGTTGGCAGGGTTTTCAGGAGTCATTTACTCCAATCCCTGCTTGACCAGGGCCACCCAGAGCAGGTTGCCCAGGCCCATGCCCACGTGGCTTTTGAGATCTCCGAAAAAAAAGATTCTACAACTTCTCTGGACAGCCTGTGCCAGCGCTCCATCACTCACACAGTATGAAAAAGCTTCCTAATATTCAGACAGCCTTCTGTGTTTGTGCCCACTGCTTCTTGTCTTATCTCTGAACACCGCTGAGAACAATCTGGTGCTGTCATCTTTGCATCCTCCACTTAAATATTTGTATATATTGATAAGAAACACCGGAGCCTTCTCTTCTCTGGACTGAGCAGTCCCAGCTCTCTCAGCCTTTCCTCATAGGAGAGATGCCTCGGTTCTTTCACCATTTCAGTAGCCCTTTACTGGCCTTTCTCCAATATGTCTATGTCACTCTTTTATTAAGGAGACAGAAAGTACACCAGGTGTGGTCTTATGAGTGCTGATTAGAAAATTTTTCTTCACTTTTTTTTAATGTCTGTATGTTAACAGTGATTTGAAGGGCCTCGAATGGCAATCACAGAATTTCTTAAGTATTGTTTTCAGTTTATTGATGTTCAGCTGAGTCTTGAACAGTGGCATTAGCTGTGCTGTGAACAAAAGTCAGTGCTGCTGTACCTTCAGAATAGGTGTTGTTAGCCTTAACCCACAGGTCACGAGATAGCTATTCTTCTTTCTCCTTTCCGATCCCCCTACAGGAGCTTCGCACATGGGAAGAAGAGCTGACTCGTGCTGCTGTTGAACAGAAGAACCATGAGGAGTTGCTCCGAAGGCGGGAACAGGAGCTGGCAGAACGTGAGATTGACATCCTGGAAAGGGAGCTCAACATCATCATCCACCAGCTGTGTCAGGAGAAGCCTCGTGTGAAGAAACGTATGGGGAAGTTCAAGAAAAGTCGGCTCAAGTTAAAAGATGGCAATAATATCAGCCTGCCTTCAGGTTGGTGAGACAAATAAGGCAAGATGGGAGGAGTATTTGAAAACCCGTAGCTTTGGTGTCTTCTTTGTGCTCGTACTTGCACATTTTAAATTATAAAAAACATACCTTGGGCATCTAGGAACTAAACTTCATGCTTTTGTGGCTAGCATTCCTCAAAGGGAACAGGTCAAATTATAAAGCCAAGAAGTGGGATTGTAATGTTACATGTTTCTTAGTGTATACAATTGATAGTAAAAATGTTGCAATTTAATACATTAGTGCTCAAAATAATAATTTGAATAAAGGATATTGTTTTGTTTGATTGTTTTAAGCAAATGTTCCTTCTCTGGGAATATTTTACATAATACTGCAGCTGAATCTGTAAGCTATCAGATTTCTTGAGGCAAGAATCAAAAACTTATCAGAAATATTGAAGGCTTTGATACTGTGGCATTACACAACTTCACATGTTAATTCAACACACAAGTGACTTCTAATGTAACCCTTAAAATAAACCTTAAATACTGGCAGTCTGTCTGAGAAGTCACATAGTGTTTTCCTTTGTTAGCATCTCTTTGTCCTGTAGAACATTTTCTATACAGACCCTGAAAATTTCGCATATTGTAAGTTAGCATCAACAGTTATTTATTTATTTTTTTCTTGTATTAAAAAAGGATTTTAGCTGTTTTTCTGCTTCTGTATTGATTTATTTTTTTTTTCTTTTGGTAACAGATTTCCAGCATAAATTCACTGTGCAGGCTTCTCCAACAATGGATAAAAGGAAGAGCTTGATCAGTAGCTGCTCCAGCCCTCCTGCAAGTCCTACCATTATTCCCAGACTCAGGGCCATACAGTGTAAGGAGCTCAATGTAGTATTGAATTTGGGAAATGTGCAGTCTGTCAGCGTGGTAAGATGCCAAGATTCCATATCTAGGACAGGACTGTAAAAAGAAATGTTCCTAAAATGTTGGCTTTGTGCCCTTGCATGTATGAATTTAGAGAGAGAAAAGTGGTGTTTTGACAATTGGCTGGGAGGGTGGTGAGTTTGGTATTGTTTGGAGTCTGAACCTTACCTATACTCTTGAAAGGTTGCTGCTTGATTTTACAGAGAACATATTCTTTGGGTCTGTAGGCTAATGTTTAGAATGTTAGTCTGCAGAGTAGATTTGTGAAATGTTATTGAAGTAGATTAAGTTACTAATGGGGAGAAAGAGAACCGGGGTGCTTATCATTAAAATAGTGTTCCCCTAATAACCCAGAATTAGGGAGGTAAGTGTGTATTAGAAGTATGAAAGGAATGTTAATGTTTAGTGTTTGCATTGGATGTCACAATTCTTGTGTTTCTGACATCAAACTAATTCTTCTGAAGGAGAAAACAGTACTAACCTAAAGCCCATCTGTAGTCATTTTGAAGAGATCTATATGCTAGATCAATGTTGATGCATGATGAGAATTTTGGGAAGTAACTCTGAATGAACATTTTCATTCTAACATTCTTCTGGCTCGTGTTCTTTACATTGCATTGGGACCCATGTGTGTACCTTTTTTCCCATTTTCCACTCTTTTTCCTACTTATGAAGTGACTCCTGCTGAAAGCAGTAAAACATGGGGACGAAACTCAGTCCTTCCAAAGGAGGAAGGAGAGGAAGAAGAGAAGAGAGGCCAGAAGAAAAAAGGACGCACCTGGGGACCAAGCTCACTTTGTCACAAGGAGCTAGGTGCAGGAGAGGACAGGTAAGAGGAGGGAATTAGATTGATGTCCATGTTCTGAAACTGGTTGTTATGACGGTTTCCCAGGAGATTTGCCTGTCCTCTTGCAAGCACTTTTCTGCTTACATATTTGGTGTGCCAAAGGCTTTAGAAATTTTAAACAGATGAGAGAACTGTTGTGTTCATTTCCTTGCTAGGGGTCTAACCCTGACCTGATGCTTTTCCCGTCTGCCATTACCTTACTTTTATTTTGAGTGGAATTTCTCCTTAGCTGTTTCTCTGCAGCTATTCTTTTGTCTGTAGCTTTTTTTTTTTTTCAGGCTTAACTTTGTTGTTTCATATTACACCTGAGAATAGTTATTTTATAGTTCTCAGCTATGTTCTCTCAGTCTTTTATATGCTATTGTTTAAAAAGCATCGGACAGAACCAGGCAAATATCTTCTCTTCCAGCTTTTGAAAAGTACACATATACCTTGAGTGAATTTTAGCAGATTTTGAGTGATTTTTAGCACAAGTGCAAGTTGTACCTGGCCCTTTTCTATAGATTCTTGTTTTGCGACTTCATTTTTTTACTTTCACTTAAATTATAGGAATATTGTAACAGTCTAAGACTTTGAGAGGTTTGAATACCTGTTGTCTTTTAGTAGAATCTGAAGCAACTTCCACTGCTAAATTGATAGTTTGACTTCAGCTATATTTTTTATCAGGGAAAATAAGGTCAATGATTATAATTTAATATTAGGTGTTTGAGCATGGACTCCTGAAAAAGAGTTGCTTGCTAACTGTGATTGCTCTTAGTACTTGAAATGTGATAGTATTGCTGAGAGGGCAGTGTGGTTAACATTAATGAACTGTTTTTCACTGAGATCATAGAGTCACAGAAACATTTGAGTTGGAAGGGACCCTTAGAGGCCATCTAGCCCAACTCCCCCTTCAATGAACCTGAGCACCTACAGTGAGATCAGGGTACTTGGAGCTCTGTCAAGCCTGACCTTGAATGTCTCCAAGGATGGGGCATCCACCACCTCTCTGGGCAATCTGTGCCAGTGCTTCACAACCTGTATTTTAAAGAACTTCTTCCTTATATCTAATCTAAAATTCTCCTCTTTTACTTTGAAACCATTTTCCCTTGTCTTATCCCAACAGACCCTGCTAAAGAGTCTGTTGCCTTCTTTCTTACGGCCTGTTAGATACCAAAAAAGATCATGTCACACTGCAGATTATTTAAATAGAATAGGACTGCATTAAAAATTAGTGCTTCAGATGATAGAGTACTTGCTTTTTTTAGTTCTTTTTTTTTTTTAATCTATTTCTAATTTGGTAGGATAGGATATTAGATTTAAGTGAAGAGCTGGACTTAGCACAGAAAAGTCCAGTTTAAGCTTTCCCCATGACACTGTTTGGGTAGCAGCAGTGCTACTATTCCACATGCTTATGTAGCTCTTTGGCCAAGCCAACATGAATATTCATCTTTTCATCACTTTCCATATATTTTTCCTTAAGATTATTATCAGATTTTTATGCAAGAATTGCATTATAGGAGTTGCTATGAAAATCTCTAATGTGAGTAAACCTACCTGTAATTAACTTTAAGAAAAGTTAATCTTCAGGAGATGACTTGTTATTCATCCTTCTGCATTTATGTTTGAGCCTAAGAAATACATATAGCAGCAGAATTCAGCAGTTGCTATGCTGAATTACTGAGACTGGATAAAGCTTTATGCTGGAATAGCATTGTGAAAATTCAGTTGTGATCTTACAGTATCTTCTCAGGAATATCCTCTGCACAGATCTTCAGAGTCTCCTTGTAGTGTTGCTTATAATTTCGGGGAGAGGAGGAGCGAAAATATGGACTTCGTAACTTAAAAAGAAATCTAGCAAGTCACAAAATTATTCTGGTAGCCATTTGTACTTCTATTCAGGTTAAACTATGCTATGTGAGTAGAAGCAAATCTGTCTGGTTTTGCCAAGGGAAGATTTTTCTGAGAAGTCAAGAAGTTTGTGTGCCCTCCTGTATAACAAAAGGCACTTTCCAAGGCTGTATGTACTTGACTATGAAGTAAAGGCTAAACTGAAGATCACTGCTGCCTGTTACATATGACTGTTGTCATTGCTCTCTTTGCACAGAGAGGAGAGTGTTTTCACTGCCCCACTGAAGACTCTCTCAGTAGTTATCTGCCTGTGTTCTGTGTTGACACACTTTCTTAGACATGACCACGCTGCTAGTATCATTCATTCTCACTCACCAGCTTTCTCTTAATGTGTGTCTGCTTTACGATGTTTATCCTAACTGTATATGTTGTACACACAGATAATATGGATACAGTAAGCATTCTCTGCTGCATTTCATTTCACAGCTGAGTGTAGTGTGGAGGGAATAAATTGGATTTATGTTGTAAAATCATGTGGTTTCTTTCTTGACAAAGAGGATTCAGCCAGAACAGTTAAGGATGGGAGAATGATGAGCTCTGAAGATAGATGGGAGCTGTATGAGATGCTTTTAGTGTGATCTGAAACTATTCCTGAATGTTGGGAATAGAAAGAACATTTGGAAAGTCATGTCTATAGGTTGATCTTCAACCAATTGAACAAGTACTAAATCAAGCTAAGACCTTATGACTTTGCCAATAAAAATATAGCTAGTCTGGTTGAGCTAGTCAGTTAGGTTGAGAATAGAGGAAAAATACAAACCAAGGAAAAAAAAAAATCCTTACCACCTTGATATAATACGACCTTGAAATCCTGCCATGGAAGTAATCTTACAAATGCAGAGTGATTCTGGTGAAAAATGAGAATAAGGAGAGGGTCTTGATCACAATCCTTCCCTTGGAAAGAAGGGAGAATATGAGCATATGTAAGCTGTCTTCTCAAAGAACAGCACAAGTTGGTCATGTTGCTGAAAGAGGTCTCGTCTCTTCAATTCTTCCAGTAACAGACATGCTATTTTATGTCCATCTGAGATCATTCAGACAATCCATAGATGTTGTCTTCTTTCATTCAATTTTCTGAGTAAGTGCTTTTAAGCTTTTCACCAGCATTGATGGGTTTAATGTTGGAGTTTGTAGAAGGACGCCACAAAACTATCAGCTTGGAGACTACTGTTGGCTGAAAAATAAATCTACTTGGCTTGTTGAGGTGTCAAAATTGTGCAGTTTACTGTTGTTGTTTCTGATACTGTGAAAGTGGTGCAGAATACGTATAGGATGATGACAGTGAATATCTGTTAACAGGACTACTAATAAGCTTAGGGGCAAAGCAAGATGCCTTTAAACTCAGATGACTTCGATGTAGAGATTTACTTTGTTTTTTTTTGCTTGTTTTTTTTTTTTTGTATTTTTGGTCTGTAACTAAGAGAATAACATGAACTATGGTGTGTAATTACTCATTTTTCCGTAGTCTGTAGCTTATGCTTTTAACCTTTTGTACTTCAAAACAATATTTTCTCTAGAGGAATGTAATATATTCTTATGATATAGAAGCATGACTGTTGTTATGACTTCAACGAACTATATTCCCACTGAGTGATTTTTGATTTTCACTTTTCACTTGTATTTCATGTGGAAATGTTTTTAGAGCTGTTTTTCCCCTCTTCCTACTGAGCACTTTATTTTGTACTTGCCATGGCATGTTTGCCTTAGAAGAAACTCATCTAATTTCTGTCATAGTACTTAGTATTACCATGCATTCATAGCTATTGTTTATCGTCAGAGATCTTTTGACTGTTACATTGTCACAAATGAGGGAAGTGTTGTAAAATATCTTGCTAGCACAGGATTGTAAATCTGTGTAATTAAGATGGATTAATGCATACCCTAAATAGAGCGATAGAGAATATAGAAGGGAGGAATTAGTTTCTTGTCAGCACTCTACATCTTATTCTTTCTATTATTTCAGTCTGAAAGCTCTGGTAGAAGGATACAAACAGTGGTCATCCAGTGCACCAAACCTAGGGAAGATTCAGAGAACTGCACCTGCTTTTCCAGGATTCACCAGCTTAGCAGAGATGGGTAAAGTATTTACCTGGACTTGATATTCTCTTGTTTGATATTCCGCTTTGCTATTCTGCATCCATTCACATGAACTTTTGAATGTCCATTGAATGAACTTTTCCTTGTCTTCACCTTAAGCAATGTTTTCATTTTGATGGTGTCTAGTACCTTCACTTTGGATTTTAATATTTTGTTTATTCTTATAAGCTAGCAAGCTTCTCCTAATTCCCCTCTTCTTTCCATGCTTTCAACTCCTTTCAACTCCTTTCCTGTTAATATTTAGATGAGCAGTATGGTTACACCCTTACTTGCCAAGGAGAGATTCTTACCATTTTCCTACCTTTTCACTCATCACTTCCATACATACAAACTTTGGAGGTAACTGGAGCATATATCGCTTCTGGTATGCTCTTTCCTTAATGGCTCATGAAAAAATCAACGTGTCAGTAACTTCTTTGGAGTTTTTGGGTACTTGTCTCAACCTGTCTGTTTTGAGATCAGTACCTTGTGAGCATTTGGCAGTTGGTAAACAGTGCTTTTAGTGAGGATAGTTGCATCTTCTGAGAAGAAGCTTAACTCTCATGCGTATTTGTAAAACTTGGTGAAATTAGCTAAAGTCTTGCATCCATGCAAAGTACTTTTTTTCATTTGCTTTCCAGATGATGAAGACAGTGAATGTCTTAATGGGGAGGGCAAAGTGCACCCTTCACCTGGGCACAACCAGTCATACCTCTGCATCCCGTTTCAGAAGAATGATGACTGGGATGGGCCTTCTAGTGATGCCAATGATGAGTCCACTCCTGTGAACTCTGCTACAAGCACCCCACAGCTTACACCCACCAACAGCCTCAAACGTAGTGGCTCCCACCACAAACGGTGCGAGGTTGCCTTGCTTGGCTGTGGAGCGGTTCTGGCTGCTGCAGGCCTGGGGTTTGATCTGCTAGAAGCAGGGAAGTGTCAGCTGCTGATTGAAGAGGAGCCAGAGCCACCCAAGGAAGAGAAGAAGAAACGTGACAGCATTTTCCAGCGAGCTGGACGCCCACGCAGGAGCACTAGCCCTCCTTCTCGAAAAATCTTCAAGAAAGATGAGCCCATGTTGTTGCTTGGCGAGCCATCCACATCCCTCACCCTTCTTTCCCTGTCTTCCATTTCCGAATGTAATTCCACCCGATCCCTGCTGCGCTCAGACAGTGATGAGATTGTGGTATACGAAATGCCTGTCAGCCCTGTGACAGTCAAGGCTCCCTTGCCAGCCATTAATAACCCACTAGTTAATGTCCAGATTGAGAGATTCAAACAAGACCCCAACCAGTCCCTCACTCCCACACATGTGACGGTCTCTTCCCACACCCAGCAAGGCGGGCACAGGCGCACACCTTCTGATGGGGCCATCAAAGGGACTGGACTAGTTGTCAATGGGTGCCCAACCAGTGGATGCCCTTCCAGTAGCTGTTTAACTGGAGCACTGGGAGCAGGTAGGTTTTCAGCCATCTTCCTTTTCTTCTTCAGAAGAAGGGCCCAAACACTATAGATACTTGTTAGGAAGTGAGCATATTGCATATGCAGCATCTGTTGCCAGCCAACAGGCAAGGCTCGTGGATATTGTCTTTACAAAAATAATGACTGGAACAATACAGTAACAGTCTCTATTCCATCACCTGTACACCAAGGAACTCTGCATCATGTTGTGAGGCAGAGCCATGTTATTGTATCAAGGTACAAATACTGTTCATTTTTAATAGTTTTGCAGATTTCCATCTCTGTTGCCTTTATGCACTTGTTTGTTTTGCTGTTACAACTTTAAAGCAAATTATAATCTTTAAGGCAGTGAAGACTGAATCTCTAAAGCAGTGTGGGGCCTCTGCTGCTCTTGCTCTTATTCCTTCACAAGCCAGAGGGATTTTCTTGGGTAGGTAATGTTCTCATTGTTACAGTCTTTAGGAGTGGCTGTGACTAGATAACTTAATGCTTTCCCTATTTTTTTCCCCTAGCAATTCACAAGAAAAGAAAAGACTAGAATGTGAAAATTAAGTCTGATTTAGCTAGACTAAATGAAATGTGGCATTGTCTGTTGAATGGAAGTCTGCAGTAAGATGTGGGTTAATACTCATTAAAATATTCACGAAAAATTTTTTTCTATTTTAAAAACAACCAAACAAGAAAAACAGAAAGTGTCTACATTAGATTTTGTTAAATGACTCTTCTAGGGAGTTGGTCTAACTCACTGCAAACAGGTGTCGCACATCCTGCTGTGCAAGTGTCTCCCCCATCCATTCAAGCTTTTAATGGATAATGTGCCTTCCAAAGGATTTGGAGAGTTCTTACCTCTGATAGGAAGTCAAATCCATGCTGTGCAATCTGAGAATGAAGAAAACAAATCAGAGAATGAACAAAATACTCTGCCTATGCAAGGCAAGTGAATCAGGTGTTTCACAATGTGTTGAGAACGATATAGGAATAAAGAAACCAGTTATTCTCTTCAGTCTTGAAGATATGGAGATTGTAGGTTCTGAATGGAGGCTTTCTGCTTTGAAAGTGTTTTCGCAGTGTACGTACAATAGGATTTGTCGGAACCTTTTAGAAGTGACATCTAACATGTTTCCCTCTTCTTTCACATTCTCTGTTTTGGATAGGTGTATTAAAAACACCTAGTCCAAGTAGAGATCCAAATGAGGTCCCTCGCCTGCCAGATCCCAACCTTGTTTTTCCTCCAACCCCGAGACGATGGAATGCACAGCAGGACCCCACGCTGGAAAGACCCAAGACGCTGGAGTTCCTGCCTCGGCCTCGGCCCGCAGCCAGCCGGCAGCGGCTTGATCCCTGGTGGTTTGTGTCACCCAGCAATGCCAAGGGTGAATCTTCTGCCAACAGTTCAAGTACTGACACTCCAAGCAATCTGGACTCTTGTTTTGCTAGTAGCAGCAGCACTGTAGAAGAGAGACCTGGACTTCCTGCACTGCTTCCTTTCCAGGGGAGTCATCCTGTAGAGGAGCGGACACTGTTGGACATAGATGCTGAGGGACAGAGCCAAGACAGCACCATTCCGCTATGCAGAAGTGAACTTAACACACACAAAGCTACAGCATATGAACTCAAGCAAGAATTCTGGTCTTAGTATGAAATTCACTTGGGACAGTAAGCCCCTCTAAATTCAATTCTACTTTTTGCACTGAGAATGCACTTTGAAGACAGATGAGTTAGATGCTACGGAGATCGTATGGTGCTGCCTCTGCTGAAGGTGTTGTTTAACTGCCTGATTGTTGTCTGCAGTTGGGTGTAATTTGGCGACTCAGAGCTGCTGACTTTGCTGTGCTGTGGGGTTTTTCTGTAGTCTTCCCTGTCACCTTATTGCAGTTTGTATCTGCAGTAAGCTAAAATTATCATATCGAAGTCTTTGTTACTGACCTTGTAGGATTTGGCACTTGCAGTGAATATCTATCCTGGTATTCATCAGTATTTTCAAAACTCAAATGCTGTAATACAGCAGATGCCAGTATTTATTTTTCCCAAAAATTCCAGGAAAGAAACAAGTAAATATTTGGAGACTACTTTCTCTGAAATGTGTCATTAGATAGGCCTGGGAATCATGGTGCCCCCACTGAAGGAGCAGAAGTAGCAGTCTTACTCTTTCTTGCCCTCTTTTGTTCATGTCCTAGTGTAAGGTGGATTGCTGAGGAAGGCTGTGGCGTCTCTATTGGTGGAGGTTTTGGAGAAGAGACTGGATGGTTGGGAATGAGTAGGTGTAGTTGGTCCTGGCTTCAAGGCAGGGTGAGTGGACTTCAATGATCTTTTGAGGACCCTCTCATCCCTATTTTTTCATGACCCTTTGCTTTCAAAATAGTGACTGGGGGTGTTATGACTACTTACTTCAGCCTGTTATTTTGTTTCTAGCTGTGGTTCCATTAGCCTCTTTTTTTTTCCCCCTGTATCACAGACTCATAGTTGAGTTGCCTCAGCTTTGGGAGGGAAATGGACAGGAACTCTAACTTCTGCAAGCAACACGCAGCTTTAAAGAAAGTTATTCCCCTCATTGTTTTTCTTCCTGTTTCTCATGTTTTTTAGGAGTGGCCCTGTAAACCCAAGGTGGTTCCTGTGCATGCTGCTACTTGTTCAAGGCTTTTTTGAAATTGAGACTTGCGTTGTTAGTAGTTGGATTGTGCAAATAGGAATCAGAACATCTGGATTCTGTCTTCTTTAGTCACTGACTCACTGTGTGACCTTGGGCAAATAACGTAACCTCTCCGTGCCTGAATTTCCCCATCTGTAAATAACAGGGATAATACCTACCTCACAAGGGGGGTGGGACCTATGTAGTATGTACTTTGAGATCTTTGTGTGGAAGGCAGTATAGGCAAGTAAAACATTTGTTCAGATTTGTAAAAGCTCTTACCTGGTCAAGGAAGACCGGGTAAGAAGACCTCCTGCCTTGAAGGAGGAAGTCACACGACTAATGTGTGCATACACTCAGTTTTCTTCAGAGGCTGCAAGTGTGTCTGCGCTCCCAGCAAGTCTGTGTTATTGGGTTTAATGAGAGCTTCATTTGTTCCCAGTTTTAGCATTATAAATAAGGAATGTGGCCTTTTTACATGAGTGTGTTAGGGTAGTCTGCTTTATTGAGGGTACAGCTTATCTGTTAGCTCTTCCTATACAGATCTTTGCTCATTTTGCTGATCTACTTACCATTTGGGTGCAAATAACTGATTTGGCAGTGCTGCCAATGCTGCCTTCCTGTCAGGGAAGTCCAGTTCTGTTGTGAAGGCACTGTGGATGAATACTTTCTTGCAGCAGCACAGAGAACATGAGCGTTTAGATGTTTATAACCTTAATATTAAAAACCAGCATGTGTGGGGAAATATTCTCCTTAGTATTTTTTAATTCAGTTTGAGGGCTAAAAGCATCATGTTGCTGTGGGTCAAGTGTATCTTCTTAGCAAGCAAGCACAGTATGTTACCATCAAGGAAAGTCATGGACTTCTTGTTCCTCACATTCCACAAAATTTGTTTAATGTCTGAATTTCTTTTTGCTGCCTACTCCACTGAACTCTCCAGAGCTAGCCTTAATGATGCTACACTAGCTGCTAATGCTGGATAGACTGTTGACTGTGTAGACAAGGTGCTCTGGTGTGTCGCAAAGAAGAAAATTGATGTTTCTGGCCCTTTCGTTAAGTGTAAACCTTTAGGTTTTTTTTTTTTTTTTTTTTTTTTTTAATTTCTTGTGCATTCGTCCTTTTGTTTTTCATTTCTGAAACCTCAATGTGTGTGTGATCCAGGAACTTCAAAAACAAACAAACGCCAGCAAAAAGCACCTCAAGGGAAGCCTGATCAGAAGTTGTGTCAGAAGAACATAAAGCAAGGCATTAAAACTATCTAGTTTTCAGTCTCCCTTACCCTTTTTGAAAGTCTGAGACAAAACTGGATCAGCTGTTCTTTCTATGCAAAAAGCATTATTCCAAAGTGATGGGAAGAAGCATCTGCTCTGCAAAGACATGATGTAGAATTGCTCTTTTGCATAGGAAAGCTAATGAAGTGTTAGAATCCCTTCTCTCTCACTTTTAGATAACCACTTGGTGAAGGCTATGGGTAGCTAACCATAGGAGGATTTTGTGCCAAAGGGCAGCTGCCCTAACACCAAATGGACAGCAGAGGAACTGGTTGACACCGGTGACAAAGAGTCATGGATCCAGATGAGGGTTTCTGGCTTAGATGTTCTCTATTACGAAGCGGCTAGAAAGACAGGGTAGGAACAGTGTTTTCTAAATGCTCCTCAGATGCAATTATCTTAATTGAATCCAGCATGTGAGATAAAAACAAGATTGACTCTGGGCATCAACCCCTAAATAAGCTTTCCAGTTTGGAGTCCTGCGACTTACCTGAAGGTACCAAGGAAGAGGAATCTGTTGTAAAACAAAGCTGTTTACTTTAGCAGGTGGTGGGATACTTTCTGACAGGCAGAGGGCTCTCAAGGCAAAGTCATGTGTTTTACTGTACGCATCCTGAAAGCTGTTGCCACTGGTGCCTTGAGGCCCAGAGGCCATCTGAATGTTAAAGCTAGTTTGTAACCTTTTCAGTTATCCATCTATGGTGTACTGGTTTGATTACTCTCCTGTCTTATTCTATTTGTTTCCTTTTCCTTCCCGGCTCCAGGCAGTGAGGTGCCCCAAGTCCCAGAGTTCACTCTAGTCCACTATATACCACGAAAATCTGAGCCAGTCAGAAAGCTCACATACCTTTTTTTGTCTACTGGCTTTCATTTATTTGTCAGTGAGACAAAAATTTCATTATTATATTGATATATCTGCTAGTATATCAAGAACCTGGAGTTCTTGAGGAAAATGGTGAAAATCTTACTGTAAAATACCCTTAAATACGTGAATAGGTTGCACTTTCTGCTGAGAAAAAACGAACACAAGAGCACAAATTTACTGAGCAGCCTAAAACAATGATAAAAGAGAGGAGTAAAACGTATTAAAGTTTTTAGAGCTCGCAAAGAAGAAATAACCTCATTACTCTTAGTATCAATTACAAAATGTTATTGCTGTGAAATTTTTCAGATTTGGAAATACATGTTTTATTTTAAATAGTTGACTGGTAATATATATATCACTAATTTATGTAATTGACTTATTTAGAATATGTTTGCCAGCTCTTGAAAATATGCTGTCTAGCAGTCTGCCTGTTTTCCCTGTAAAATTGAGAGGAAAGCACAGACTTAACAACAGTGCAAAAAAATTACTTCAAAAAAAAAAAAAAAAAAAAAAAAAAATTTCTACTGGTTTCACAGAAATTGAATGTGGGACAGATAGAGAGAAGAAAGCTTTTGTGTCAAAGCTAAAAAATTATGGATGGTTATGGATTCTTTGTAATATTGTTGCTTCCTATGGACTGCACAGTGCTCTGTTTCACCATCAAGTAGATCTTATCTCCTTTGAGCCTTCTCTGAGGTGCAAATGTAACTTTTTATAGGTACCCTTTTTCCTTCAGATTATTGCTGCAGCAGATTCATATTCAGTGCGGGCCAGGGAACCTCAATGAAAATATTCTTTTTGTATTGGTTTTTCTTAACAGAATGAGTATTTTCAAAGTAAAATTTTCATTAGTGATGTAGAAAGACCTTTGGGTTTGGTATGCTTTTATGATGTATTTTTCTGTACCTCTAGGAATGGGAGTAGTTGCCTTCCTCTTCATAGCATGCTGTTATCTTAAGACTTGTGGACAGTGCTGCGTAGAGATGTTACTGGATGAAACTGGATACCTCTCATTCAGCTGAAGGTGAGGCAGTAATTAATGGTCAAGTAAAGAGAGGTCTTTGCCATTTGGAGTGCTTTATTAAATAGTAAATCACAGGAAACCTCCTAACTTGAACCACCACCTTTCTATCTTTTATTTAACTTTGATTTGAACTTAATTCACTTCTATGGAATGAATATGGGATCTGAAGACCGATTAGATGTGCGGAACCAAACCTAATTACTATATCCCAGAATTCAGTGTTGGCTTGTTGCCTTTGTCTCTTTTATCTCTAAGCTAATATTAATGTTTATTTCTTTGGGTTTTTTTTGAAAATTTTCTTCTTGGAAAAAAGATGGTTATTAGTTTCTAATATTTTCTGTGTGTTTTGGAAATATTCTTAAAAACTCTATCAGCTCTATGGAAAATAGGAAGTCTTATCTTGCAGAGTGATATAGATCTTTCTTTTGACATAAAACAAGGGGACCGTTAGAAATGAAAATTTCTGATCCCTTTTACTATAGGGTAGTTGCCTTCCTTTGCTTCTATACTTATAACTTGTTTAAGGTTGTAATTTGGGTAAAACTGGATGCTAACAGTGACAGGAGAGGCATATGTTAAAAGATTATTTACAAACAAGCAATGAATACAGCATGTGCACAAACAAAACTGAAATATACTCATGCTGTCATGAAGGATAACTTTATGACTTCATAAACACTTTGGTTCATTATATTATTAAGGTATCTTTAAGAAAGAATGCCTTCCTATGTTTTTCTTTATAGTTTACTTTGGAAGATTAGAATAAGGTGCTTGGCACAGACTCTCTTCTAGCATCTGGCTGGACAGAATGGGATTTTAACCAAATACTTGTTTTTTGTATTTCCATATCTAATCTGTGGTATAGACTTTCCTGTTTCTTCTGCTTAGCAAACAAGTCTTAAGAAGAACTTGTTTCTTCAGCTCTGCTGTCACAGTTTCACAAAGCAGTACCAAAATGCATTTATGGCTTACTTTGCTACTCCCATCTTATTAAATACACTGGTAGAATGTTACCTGCTATAGTTTTAATGTTCATTTGCTTTTGTTTTTTCTCATGCTCAGCTTTTTTTAAGCAGCATTACCACTGATCAGAGACAAATACAGCTTCTGAAATCACCTACATCAGCTTTATTTTTATGTGTTAAAAACAGTCATTCCCACCTTAGAAGTGTGTGCCTGATTATAAGGTAATTTCCCACTGGTGACTGGGTCGGGGGTCTCACATAGCTACCAGAATTCTTATTGTCCCTCTGTAACAAGAATCTCCTTTTTTTTTTTTTTTTTTTTTTTTTGCCCAGTAGAAAACACTTCATCAGTGTTGTGTACAAGAGCCACATTTCACCTCTTTCTGTACATGAGTAATAGAATCTTTTTTTTTTTTCTTTGTTTCCAAATGACAAGGAGCATCATTTTACCTACTGAGTGTGGCTACTTGTGCTGGTCTTTCTAAGCCTCTGAATTACATCTGTGTGTTTTAGGTGCATCTTGTATTTCTAGGTGCCTTCTATTTCATGTGCATCTTTGCTAGGGCCTTAGGTTGTTTTCTGGAAGGAACTCTTGGTTGTAGCTTTCAATACTGCAGTTTTCTTCATCGTACATTCAGCCAAACACCAGTGATACCAACGTTTCATGTCCTTCAGTTTGCTGACTTGTGTATACCCTTGTGAAAACAAGTATGCTATTGCTAATTCTCCATCTCCCAATTAGAATTCTAAATATGTGATTCCGTGGCTGTCTCTTGTCAGTTATTTGTTCTTGTAGCCATAGTATTTTGGTAGAAGGCAGAAACCAACATTATCTTATCTGTGCTTTGACCTAAAACATTTTCAAGATAGAAGCATAAAATACAAGTGGGGGAAGTATAAGTGTGGAGGTTAGCAGAAATTAACCAGTACAAGGGGTGAAATTTTCTATCTTACTGTACTAAACAGTGGTCAGAGGACACTGACCAAGAGCTGCTTGGTAACCTATTGGCATCATAGTTAAATTGAGTCCTAAAGAAAAATTTGAGGATTGTGTGGTGACTTTGTTTCTGGTTGATTTGTTTTCTTTTACCCTGAGCTACCTCATTTGTACAGATGGAGTGGAAATAAAGGACAAGTTGTAAGAATTGCTCTAGATAAACAATTGAAACTAGAATGGTGAGAGCACCAAGGAAAACACTTGTGTTTGGCTCTTTGACATTCAAATTCCTTATGGAAAAATAAAACCAGCTGTTCATTTCCAAAAATTAAGATTATTCTTTTATTATGTAACTCTCCAAAATAAACAATAACAAGGCACAAAGTATATTTCCTGATGGTTTTTGACCTGTGGAAGAGCTGAATTTCCAATCTAAAAGGTGATTATTTCATACTGGTCACTGCTGCTGCTTTTAAAGGTAAAAGTATGTTTTTTGAGAACATATTTTTTTTTCTAAATAATCTCATGTACTCTTTAAGTGAGCCTATATGCAGTCTTGTTTCCCTTGTATTTACTGTAGTTTTCCTAGTATCGTAGAATCCTTAGATGTTGCAAGGGACTCTGAAGGCCATCTAGTCCAAATCTCCTGCAGTGAACAGGGACATCCACAGCTAGATCAGGTTGCCTGGGGAATGTATTTGATTCTAATGCAGCTCTTGTATCTGAGTGCTAATGGTGTGTGGATAGTCAACTATAGCTCATTTTAAGAAACTATGACACGTTTTTACTGTGTAACATAGTGGATTTTTCTGCTCAACTTGAAGTGGACTACTGTTAGTCTGTAGCTGATGGGGTCAGATAGATGTGTATCTAGCAAATGTGGACCTAGAACAGATCTGCAGGAGAAATGCCAAAGTTGCATTTGCTTAGAGAAGGATAATTGAAAGATAATAATGGTGGGGGAAAATGTCCCTTCACTATTCAGAAGTAATTCTCTAGGATCTTGACCGTGCTTGAATTTTAGCTTCCATACAGTGAGAGCTCATGGATTTTAATAAAAAATTTTTTTGACTGAAGCCCTGGCATAAGACCAAGGCAAAGTATTCACGTTATTTAGGAGTGATTGACACTGTCTCCTTGTCCTACCTTGATTGTTCCAGTTTAGCATTTTCTCAAGAACAGATGTAAAACTATCCTTCTTGCCTTGAAGCAGGAGGAGAGAGGTGTGAGTCCGAGAAAGAAGAATCATTGCTATAGCCGTGTCCTAATGCATTTCCTTGTCACTCGGCCAGCAGCAGAGGTTATAGTGGAGCAGGAAGACATACCAGTGTTTTTCCAAGCTTTATTGGTGAGAATGCTGCTAAAATAAGATTTTAGTATATAAACAAGCAAGTTTGGGAAGCCTTATATTTAACTACTTGTTATTAAGTTTCAAAACAAATGTGTCCTCTGATTATTATCTGGCATTGCTCAATTGCACACTTATTGAGTTTAACTACAGCTGGAGAAGAGCTGAACTCTTTCCTTGAGTTCTTGTGGATGTGGCTACTTCTGATTATTTTGGGGGGTAAAGTAATGTTTTCTCTTAGTCCCACTTTGCGTTGCAAAAGAGTTGTCTCTCCTGACTAATTGTCCAGATATTTGTAGTAAGCTTCTATTTCTGCCTTGTATGCTTTGGTGAGTGGCTCTTAAAATGTCATCATGGTTAGCATTTGTGTCTGAATAGGGCAGCTAATACCTCTGAGCTGATTTTTCACACTGCATCTCAAACAGATGTTATTACATTAGTTCTGCCATTGCTCTGTTTTCAAGGTTATCTTGGCAACCATAACATCCAGAAATCCTAGACTATATAAAAAGTAAAGCAGCAGAAAAAAAAAGAAAACATACCAATGCTTACCAATTGAACAGCTGAGTTGTGCCAGTGGTCTTTGCAGAGAGTAAAAAACATTCTTCTGCAGCGTAGGTCTCTGCGAGACAGCTGAATTCCAAGTGGAGAATGTACCTGTATCTGCTTAATGTCAACAGGCACCAGTGCCTCTCCTATTTGGCAGTTTTTATATGAAACCGTGTAAAGCCAAAAACATATAGTAGTAAAAGTTTATATGTAGGGTACTGTCTTGTAACTAGGAGGGGAAGAGGTCTCAATTCAAGAAAGCATACTTAAACATCACCGAAATCAATGGAATGTATCTATGGGGCTAAATGCACAAAACCTCAAGTCAGCAAAGCTGTTATGATCTGATCTGCGGGGTTGTCTTGTAGAGATTAATGGTGAAGGACCAGTCTCCATATTTTGTCAGAGGGAGTTCCTTCACAAGCCTTTGGGTAAATGCAGGCTCGATTTGCTCTGACTTACGTGGCCTTTCCATGCCTGCATTTTCCATCCTATTTGATCGCTAGTTCTTACCATAAACAGAGAAAGCTTTGAGAATATTTTCTGACACAGGAGAGATCAATAACTTCTGTACTAGCAGACTGCTGGCTTCAGAGGGGGCAGTAAATGGTGTGCGGAGGCTGTGTGTACAAATTTTGATTTAACCTGAAGTATTTTCTCAGGTTTTTTCATTTCAGAAATGCAGCCTTCCAGGTTAGTGTACAGATTTGACAAATGTGGAAGTGATCAGTGTCTACTGTTATTGTTAGGGTTCTTGGATTCTTGCTCGCCAGCTGTTGGCCCAGCACTTCATGCTGGTATATATGACTTCTTTGTCATAAATTCAGAACAAACTGGGAATATCGGAGATATTTTGCCTGACTTCAGTTGAGAGGCTTATATGGAGTGGGGAGGGGCGGTAGTGGTGGAAAAATCAGGGAAACTACCTGTGATTTTAACAGTGTCTCTTCTGTGGCTTTGAAAGTCTGAATTTCACAGCCAGAGAATGTATTTCCTCCCTCTTTTTATAAGCTACATCTTTCTTTTGCCTTATTAATTGTGGATCTGTTCCTGCTTCTGTTTAAAGCCAGTTGCAAAAAACAGTGACCTGAATTTCCTAGGTACAGTGTTGTCAAATCTGAAGAACCAGGTGAGTAGTTGACTCCAGTGTAAGATCGTACGCCCATGTCCATTTTTTTTTGAGGTATGGGATAGTTCCTGCTTGTGTTGAAATCCCTGTGTGAAAAGTGTTAGGTACTTTGTAAGGAGCTCCAATCTCTGCAGGACTGGGATTCATCTGATGACTGAAGTATTTCCAGTCCATTTTTGGAGACCCCTGTATGTCTTCTGTTCATGATGTTCAAAAGTCTTTTACTATGGAAGTAGCACCTGAAGGTGTGTTTTTGCCCAAACAACCTGCAATGAAGCAGTTGCATTAGCAAATGGTAATGTACCCCAGAGTTGAGTAAAATAACAGAGGCCACCAAGGTTATTCTTGTTTGTGTGATGAAATGTTGTCAAATGAAGTGATTTGTTGGAGCCTTCCTGTAACCTCTGTACAGCAGTAAGCTTAGGGGAAAATAAGATTGCATTATTTTTTAAAAAGCTTTATTTGTGACCTGGCTTTGTTGCCTCTGACCCTAACTTAAATAGTTAAATTATATTAATGTCCAGTTTGTTTCACTGTAGGTAACACATCAACTGAATACTCTTGTGCATAATCTACTGTATCTTTCCTCTGTTCTGTGTCAATGTATTATGTGTATTTGGATTACGGTTCTTTTTTATTGTATTAAATTATTTTATGTTATAGAACAATATTTAAGCAAAGCAAAGAGCTGATGAAAGTTGTTGGCGTTTTGGGATTTTTTTTTTCTCTTTGCTTTTTTTTGGATGTACTGTAAATTGTAAACCAAGGATGCCAAGCAGGCTTGGTTCAATGGCTAAAATTATTGTATTACAGTGTAATGCTGATCTAGGCCTTGTCTCAACACTAGAGCACACAGACTTGAATAAAACTGTTATAAAAGTGATTGTCTTTAGGTCTTGAGTTCTTAGCTTTGTGCTTTAGATAATTTGAACAGACGTTTAGAACAGCAGTATCATTACCTTGCTCTGAGGAGCATGTATTTTCTTCCCAGTGCCACGACAGGTTTGTTTTTTTTATTAGTCATCTTGGTTCTGATAACTGTTCCAGTCCTGGGCTTTTCTGGAGTTTTGAAATCTGTCCTAAATCCACAGTCTGATATCAGACTTGGCATACAGTATCTGTGCTAACATCTAGCTCTGAACAGGGTATTTAATTGCTTTTATTAAGGTTAATATTTCTGTTCTGTTAGCTTAAGGTTTTTGTGCTCTTTATTTAGCATCCTAGCCAGATGATGAGTCTGAATGCCTAGATCTGTAGCAAATGCAGTAACACATTTTGTGCATGATGACATTTAGCAGATGGTTTAGATTCACTTCTGTTGCTATGCCTTTGTCCTTGCCACCTTATTAAGATACTATTGCTTGAACCAGTTTTCAGACTCTCTTTCACGTGCTGCCAGACTGAAAGATGACATGGCTTTGATTCCTGTGCGTTTGAGTCCTAGCTTATGACTTTGCTGTTGTCTGACATAATTACTTATGTAGGTTGCTCTGAAAGTAATGCCTCCTATTTATTTCCATGGAAACTACAACAGATACAAAGAGCATAATAACACAGTTTGGTAGAGCAAATTCTCAGCTACAAAACAATGTTTTTCAACATAGTCAGCAGCAATGCATTTTTGCTAGCAGTGGACAAGAGCCTGCATTGCCTCACTTGTATTAAAAATAATAATAATAATAAAAATCTGCACCATTGGAGATGACCACTGCCACCACTACTTAAATGCACCACCTACTACCTTACTGTGCTCGCATCCACTGCTTGGTCTCAGTAAACATTCAGCAAACATGAATGAGTGTTAGTGGGTGTAATTTTTTCTGCTGGGAGGAATTCATTGACACACCTTTGTTTCATATGCCCTTCCATGTCAAACACCATCTTGTCAGACTGTCCCTCTGCTGCCAGCACAGCAACAAAATGTAATGGAATCTTGATGGAAGGTTCAGCCTTTGCTGTCGTACCACCTGCCATGCCTCCGACATCATGGGCCAACATAATACAATAGGAAACATTACTTTTGGAATTTTGTAATTTTTCTAACTTGTAATTTTATCTTTTTAAGGAATAACTGTGTGCTACAAGTTTCATAATTTCCTTTGAGAAATGACTTTTCTCTAGTCACTTTCCCTCCAGATTTTTGAATGCCTTGGACTTAAACAATTTCTGCCTTCTGTAATAGTTGCTATAATATGGTTCTATTCTAAAAGAATCTGATGTTCTAGCTGGATTTGTTCTCCTGTCACAACTATGAGGTTACCATGACATTCAGGCTGACCTCATCAGGAGCAAAAATCTGGATGCGTTATGGCAGATAAGTTTTCTGCTTGTGAATACAGCTCCTGTAGAAAATGGCAGGATCACAACGCGCTACGTGAGAACGTAAACCTTGAATTTTCTTAAGCAGAGGTATCTAACTACTATCAGAAAAAGAGGGTCCTAAGTAAAAGTTGCCAGGATCTCTGTGGGCACAAAATAAACATCAGTGGGTGTTTTGGGATGAGTAACATTAGTTTTTATTTTCTTGATGTGTAGGTAGGGGTTGGTAATACAAATTCTAGAGCAAATCTTTTAGCCGTTATGTATATGTATGTTATGTATGTGTGAGGGAGGAAATAATCACATATTACATTGTTACAATACTAGATGACAGGTGCTGGAATAGTACGAAGAAGTGGTGCTTTCAGAGCTCACCACATACCTTGATACTACTTCTAGGAGCATTCTAAGACCAAGCAGATGAATGGGAGTGAGCCTAATCTTTCCTATGTGATAGGAGTGAGCTTTCCTATGTGAGCTGCATATCGTATAAAGGTAGCATTGTTCTGCTGTTTTTAATTAAATTTTGACATGCTTGGCCATTGTTACACAGGGGAGAAGCTGTCCCACTAAAGTTAGTCTTAGCAAGAACCTAATTAATTGTTACCATGAAAAGTTTGCAGGTAGGCTGGTATCCAAACTTAAGGAGACTTCAGGCTTTAGAAAAAATGCTGAGTGAGCATGGTAATAAAAAACATCACTGTCTTAATAAGACTTATCCTCATGCTTGGACTTCTGGCTCTTTACTACTTAATGAGAAATCTTATTAAATGTCTTGTGACTTACCATTAAGGCCTTATTAATTTAACAACAAATCCCAGTGTAGTGGGAAGAGTTTGGATCAACTGATATTGCTCTATCATAAAGTAGAGCAGAACTATGATTGTGCTATTAATACAGGCAAAGCCTACTTCACTGTAGCTCATAATTGTCTTGGTTTGTGTTGGTCTAGTTCTGTAGTTCATTGCTGTAATAAAATGCAACCAGAGCCAAGGAGGAGTATTAGGAGGAACGGGACCCAGGAGGCTCTCATGGCTGCTTGGGGATTCTCAGAACCTCAGCTTTTGCTGTGTATGGAGAAAGAAGCCACTCCTGCGCCTTCCATACACAGTGTTTCTACTACAGACAGATGAGACCCAAAACCATTAATGACTGGGTTTCTTCTCTTCAATGCAGTTTTCAGTCTTTGTTTTCCTTGAATCAGAATGTTTTCTCTGGAGCAGTTGGTCATAATGATGTTTGCCAACTAATTTATTGCAGCCCTGATATTAGGACTACACTGTTCTTGCAGACCACTGTTCTAGTTCAGCCTGAAGTATTTTTTCTTTCACAGATTGCACGCAAGGTGGGACAGCCACTTTTCTCCTTCATTTATGTACATCTTTGAGCAACGCAATTTCAGGCAATATCCCTCATTCTCCTTCTGTCTAGAGATATGGGTGAGGAATCCAGTGTTGTCTTCTTAACTCTGAAATGTCCTCAGAGTAACTTAGTTTTCAGCATTTTTCAACAGCCATTACAGCATCTGTTGTCTGCTGCTTGATCACAGATTCTTTCTCTTAAAACTAAATATGGAATTGATCTTAAAACAAAAAAAGAAAGCGGCAGGCTCAAAACTGAAAGCAATGTCTAGAAAACCTAGGAATTTGGTGTAATAGTTTGCTACTTATGCAAAACTTTCCTGGCTTTATATCTATGTTGTCTTCAAGATGTAAGTGCCATTAATATCTATTCAGTACAAGAAGAGTTGAGGAGTTTCAGGACCAGAAGGAGGTGAGACAAGCTACCATGAAAGTGTTTGGGCACCAATAATACGTTGTGTGTCTTACCAATAGGAGTGTTAGAACAGCTTTTGCTTTGCCCAGCTCCCTTTGTGTGGCTGGAGTACTCTGCCTGGACCTGAGTTCTCATCAGAAAGGCAGTAAGCTGAGAAGTAACTCGGGCTGGCACTTGGGTCTGTGCAGAGGGCTGGCTGCCTGGTCACAGATGAATCAAATCTACATGTTCCACTTGGTCTCCTTCCCTGTGTCAGTCTGACACTTGGTATCCCTTACAGATCATCTCTGTGCACAATCTCAGGTGTGTCCCTGTCTTTGGCTTTCAGTACAGCTTGGTGATGGTGCCACTAATTTGTCCTGCACAAGGAAGAACAAGGGATTCATCTGCATCTTGGCATCATGCTGCCGTCACAGGTATGTGCATTAAGTATTGTGGTTTGTTTTTTTTTTTTTTTTTTTTTTTTTTTTTAAGCAAAAAGGATAGGCAAAATACATTGATTTGAACATACAAGGTATATAGGATTCATCAGCTGTGATAAAGCCTGGATTAATTTCACGCCAATGACACTAATTCTCTCTGAAAGTCACCATCCTGCTTGCATAGTTTTCTTCCTTTCTAGAAGAAAGGCTTTTGGTTAACATAATGCTGTTACATCTGGGAACAAGGCTTAAAATAACACCAACGTTCAGCTTGGCAGCCTCTGGCGACTGCACAGTGGATTCCCAGGAAAAAACTGTTTCCATGCTCAAACTGTATGGGAACATTCCTACCAGTGCAGAAATATTGTTAATCACATTGTCCTGCACCAGGCTGTTAAGGAGGTGAATTTTCCATAAAAAGACAACCCAGGTTATAGACAACAGGTATGTGCTGCGGTGATGGTGGGTGATTCAGGCTGTGATGGACTGTGTCCTAAGAACTTGAAGAACAAAATTTTCTACAATGACTGCTTCATTTTTTTTCACTTTAATGCTGGAGGAAATTTACCACATCCACATTTGAATGCTATGCTCTGTCAGTGACAGACCAAAAATAAACGATAAATACATCATGTATTTTAATGCATGTATACTAGACAGCATGGAAAAGAAGCCTTGCTCAGACAGGTCCATGGCTTTAATTTGCTTCAGGCCATCTGATAACCAGCCACTGTGCTTAGGCACCAAGTGCTGCGTGGCTGTTTGTGTGCTACACAGATGTGGTTTCAGCACATATCCCAGTCAGTCACACAGAAGCTGCCACCCCATGCAAGGGAAATTGTTAGTCTTACCTGGGCATTACAAGGGGTTTAGTGCACAGCTCTGCTCCCAGCCCTGCCGCACAACTGCTTACCCCTGTTGAGCTAGGTAAGTCCCATGGGCTTCTATTTTCCTCCCTGCAAAAAGCAAACAAAAAAAACCCACAAACCAAAACACAAGCCTACTGCTCCCTATCTAAAGATGCGTGAGGATAATGCAGAGTCATGTCCCCTTACTGGAAGGTGTGATGGTGGAGTTTAAGTGTAGCACACTGTTTGCTCGTTACTCTGGTAGGCTTCTTGCTCCTGGAGCACACCGCCTGGGCAGGACTAAAGACATCTATCCCACGGCTGACAGCACGTTATCTCCAGGGCCATACATTACCTCTGGACATCCGCAGGAAGTGGATGTGAATACCACGTTGCATAACCTCCCTGGAGCTTGTCTCAGAAGACCCTGAAAATGTGTTGTTGTTTTTTTTTTCCCCATGTTATGTTTTTTGCTACATTCTTGTCCTAGTCCTTCATCTTTCAGAGTACTCAGCCTT